CAACTGCCCGACTACAGTATGATGCAAATACAACGCATTTGGTCGCCAGCGTGCACCGCAACACGCGACACACGCCAAACAACGTGAGAAGGCTGAATATGAAGTCAATCACGACAAAACAAGAGTCGTTACCACCGCAACTGTTCTGTTCTAACGGAACTCAATCGAACACAATTTGCAGATCTCGACGATGCCGCCAGCGACATGCACCTTCATGATGCAGTCGCACCACCTGATCGTGCAGTTTTTCCCGGCCACGTCCCGCGATGCCGGTCAAATCGTCCACGCAATAGGAATTCGTCGAACGCGATGCAATCCCTGCGACTGCGTTGGGGACCTTACTCGCTAAAGCAGGTGCAGCATCGACCGACACTCAGTGAGCCCCCAGTACTGGGGAATGTACTGTCGCCACGCAACCATGTCAGTGGAGGGCTCCACAGCCTATTCATCCACGCACATGCAAGTGACGACGGTGAACACGATGCACGTGAGCCCCGCGAAAAGGAAATCGACACCAACGTTGGCACACTGTAGCCATCGTTTGCGTGGAGTTCCGTGTGCCTTTTTTGCTGCGTACTACAGTAGTCCCCAGCAATTGGGAACATTTGTTGGCGATATGGTTTTAAGGGTTTTCAATTTACACAAGTTCAAAATTAATCAGGATGGGTCGCTCGGTGTTGATAGGATAAGAATATACATGTGGTATTGAATGAAAAGTGTTTGAATTCAAAAACGGACATCATATTCGAATTCAGGAGGGGGTTGATACCCTGGCAACCTCCAGAAGACAAAACGCTGGACTTCAAGTTGTGTCGCAGTTGGAAGCGGTAGAGCCAGCCGTTCGTAAACCTCATGATGGCGAGATCATCTGTAGACTGTGATGAACTTTGGAGTGCGTCTCGTATGGCGATCGCCTTGGCACGGATGGTCGGTCCAGTTACAATGGGGACCTTCCACTCCTCACACTTTCGAATCCAAGTCATTAGTCGACGTTCCAGTTCGGGTAGGCGGGCCTGCTTGCTGATTTGTGTGACGGATGTACATCCATGGGCTTGCTCTGATCGTTTAGCCAACGAGACATCGTCGACTTTTGGGGAACATGTGGCAGTCCAAATTCACGCTGAACCCATTTTTGCAGTTCAAGTCCTCTTATGTCAGGATTGGACTTGTTATACATCAATAGTGAGCGCTTTTGCTCGACGGTGAATCTCATTCGTGTCGAGGGTGACGGCATATTGAGTACACCAAGCGGTTTTTCGCGACGTGTGTCATATGAATTTTCAATCCGCCTCTATAAATTCATTTTTCAGTACTTCTTGGACAAGAATTAATTTTGCGAGGATATTAATTAGTTGCGGGTTCCCTATTGCGGGGGAATGCTGTATTGTTTAAGCCGCCCCAGTTGCGTCTCGAAGTGGTCACGTGCTGATCGGTGGGGAATCCCACAGTCAAAGAGGGTTGACAAAGACACAGCGATGGCCTTCCATCTTGCCGTTAGTGTTCCGTACTCACCGTCGTATGGCTCGACGCGCACGACTTCACAAACAAGGCTAAATCCATCTCCGCACCCCAAGCAAGCTGCTTTTGCATGGCCTTGTCCATCGTCAATCGAGTTTGTCTGTGGGAGGTCACTACGGTAACACGAATCGATTTGATTGGCTCAGGAACGCTGGTCATCGGTCAAATTTGACTTGGATTTTATGGTAACTTTGCATTGACCTTTCGTTGGCAGTTGTGCAAATAAAAATGAACAAACAATACCTCGTGTTAGTCCGCAAGAGCTTTGTTTAGCCACTCAATTTTAGACCAATCGGAAAAGAGGAAGATTAATTTTTCGACTTGTCTGCAATAGTTCCCAATCAGAGTAGTACCCTCGTTGAAACAATGTGTGTAGATAATATGGCAAACGCGACAAATCCAACCGACAATGCTATGATTGGTCAATTATACAAAACGAATTTTTGATTTCAACCAGTGCACAATAAGTAGAGGGGATACTCCCTCTACTTAATGGTCCTTCAGGTTTCCCTATTGGGCATGGAACCTCGAAAACCCATTGCAATTAGCCCCGAGTTCAATCCCCTCTAAGGGCAATTAGTATTTCCATGAACACTACAATTTATGACTTCACTTCCTCTTTCGGACTTCTTTTAACAAACTTGAATAATTACCTGTGTGATCTGCAAATGCAGCCTCAAACAGATTATAGCTTTGGTACTTTAAAAGTGCAACTCCCAAAGTCTGTCCCTCAGAGTACTTGCGACGATCGCACTTGATCATGTCCTTCGTAAAGTCTTTGATGGCACAGAACAAGCCGCTCTTGGGACATGGAGTGAACCATTGATCCCACGCATCTATACCAGATCGTGCCGTTGGAATGGTATTGGTCACCACGCACTCCCCAAGGGTCAGTTGTCGCTGGCGAGCAGGCGCCAGAGCAGCCTTCGGCGTCTCGACGCCAACACCTTTCTTCACCGCATTGATAATGGCGTCCAACGTCGACATACTTGTACCAGACGCAGCTTGAACCACGCCATGGACCGAGCCGTTGTGCTTTCTCAGCAGATTGCACGGGTCGATGCCGTCGCTGATGCTTCTGGTCACCAGAGGTACTCGCAACACGTTTTAGCATCCGTCCACCGGCACCACGCCATCAACTCTCGGAAATTGAACTTCCGTTCTGGCGACTCAAACACCCTGTAGAAGCAGCCTCCTCTCCGCATACTGTGCAATGAGATGCCGATTGGCAGACTCGGCGACGACTGTACCAAGTCTTGGACAACGCGTCGAACATAGCTCTGATCGAGAGGTTTGAACCAGTCCAAGCGAACTTGACCATGTTGGCTGGACACAGTTGGGAAAACGCATGCGTCTTGCGACATATTGGCGTGGATAAGACGGACTTTGTCTAGGTAGCCTTAGTAGAGGATGCAGACGCAGAGACATGGGTACGAAGTCTCGTCGACCAAATGGTAAACTTGCCATTCCTTCTCAACACTCGCTTTCGTATGCCATCGCAGGCGAATGGACACGTATCGACCAGATTTGTCTTCCCCCAAGGCGACGTCGTGCCACTTCAGCGCCAATATCTCGCCGATTCAAAAGCAGCCAATGAAGCAGCAGCACGGCTAAATCTGAAACATGGCTGCAACAAAGGGATTGTGGTTGGCAAAGAGATTCATCAAAGTTGACAACTCGTGAACAGTCAAGGGGTGGGCCTTCTTTTCGTCGTCAACATTCTTCTGCCGATTGAACTTCTGCAAACCAATGACGTAGCGCTTCCCATGTGTGTCTTGTGCTGGGTTGGGGGATATGTTGCTCTCCTTGAAATACGACATCAATGCGGTTTTCGCGGAGTCTTCGGTGCGGGCTTTTCTTCCCAAACTGTACAGTTGATGGAGGAAGTCCGTGCCATCCTCGATCGTGGCGGCTTTAGGGTTGAGCCCGCTCTTGTACCGAGCACAGTACGCCTCGAACTGGCGTTGGTATGTCAAATATGTCCTCCGTGTGGAGGCTCCATGGAAAGCGTCTTGAATCGCCTGCTTCGTCGGTGTCCTCTTCATCGCTTTTTGGAATGTGAACAGGTCAGTAGAAACGGCGTGAAACGAAACGATTTTAGGATTTATCCAATCATGGCTTGTATATGTTTAATGTTAAGGAT